AGATGCTGCAAGGTGAGGATGAATATGTTACACAGGGTTTGCAAACTTTTGAGCACAACTGTATATATATATGATTGTGGATGGATACATTTTTCCCTTTTTCCTTTTTTTTTCTTCTGTGTCCTTTTCCCTAGTTGATTTTCCCAGTTTTTTTAAATCTGATTTGATTAACCCCTTAAGGACCAAACTTCTGGAATAAATATGTTTGGAAATGTAATGCCCCTTTTAAAAAAAAAAGACAGTCAAGCTGTAAGGGGATGACCAGTCTTCTTTAGCAAATTATTATTATTACTGGCATTTATAAAGCGCTACGCTGTACAACTGGGAAAAAGACAATACAGTATAAACAGACCAATACAAAAGATAGAGGGCCCTGTCCATGAGCTTACAATCTAAATATAAACTAAAATACAATATATAAATATAAACTAAGTATAATCAAACACACTTTTCAAATAAAAAATATATATTCTTTATATTAAATGAAAATGGTAATATGTTTTTTTGTTTTATTTTCTTATGAAAAAACAAATTATATTTCATATATTTACATTAAACCTTGATACATGATAACACACCAGTGAAGATGCTATAAAAATAGAAACTTGGCCATAAAGCACTAAATATGTTATTAGCTTTCAATAGCAATCCCTGGCTTTCAAGACAGAACCTGCGGGCGTCACAGAATAAATCTACAGTGACCACTGACAGCTTAGTTCCAAAATATCCGCATTGCAATGGGAGCAGCGGACAATGCAATTTCTGTATCGTTATAAACAGTGACAGAGGGGACCACTAACAGCGGAATCCCCAGATGTGTCAGCAAGAATCGCCTACATTATTATAAAAGTAAATGTGTCACCAACAAAAATAATGTAGGAATTTGTATTTTGACTATGGAGCACATTTAAACATGTTTAAAGAGAAACAGTGACTTTTGAATTAGGTAATACTATTAATGGAGAGTACGTGTTGTTCTAAGGAGAACCATGTACATACGTTGTTTCTTTTAAGTATCTAACATTTGATTCCTACTGAATTATCCAGCTTTGTAGATACAAAGTTCGATTTGCTAGGTGTAATGTTAGAAAATGGGCAAAAAAAATATCTATATAGAATCAAAAGAGAATAATGGCTAATTGAGTCTAGTTCATAGTTGAATAATTTACCTTGAGCCAGTCCTCTATAAATGCTTTAACACTTTGTTCTAAGACTAACCTGATATATTTCCGGTGATGGCATTGAAATTTGCATAGTTGTGTTCCTTTGAATTTTTGGTATTAACTTAGTATTTTTTACGCTCTTTCAGTGCGCTGATTTTTTCCTGTTTTATTGTAGCTCTATAACTTCAGAGTTCCCTAAAGGAGACCGACTAGCTTTACATCCAGCAACTCATCACTTAACTATATTGCTTTGACGCGCAAGTGTAATGGTGTGTCATATAACATTTTTGGGTATATTTTTATTTTGAATGATTAAGTTGGATGAAAGTAGTTGGATATTAGTGAATAAATCATAAACTGAAGTTAAAGTGTGATAGCTCAGCAAAAACAAATCTAAAAACCCGTATATTCTGGCTGAACCTATTCTAAGTAGAGATTGTTTCAAAAATAGGTATTGACAAAACTTTAGAATGTTGTGTTTATTCATTACCACATACAGAGCTGGAATAAGATTTTCCAGGGCCAAGGCAGGATGTCAGATTGTGGCCCACACCTAGGGCACTGGGCTCTGTTTTGTGTGTGGTAATAAAATGTTGTGTCTTTGTGGGGAGAGTGTTGTGTAGTGGTTTCAGGGCCGGATTAGCATAGGGGCTGATGGAACTGCAGCTCCAGGCCCAGGCCCATGGAATAAGCCCATTGATTATATTATTTTTTTTTAACACACTACTCTTAGGGTTGCCAGGTATTTCTCATGTATTTCTTATGGTTGCCAGGCATTCCTCAGAAGTATTTATCAGGTATTTGAGGCTGCCTAG